AACACTGACTTAGATCACGTTAGCAAGTGGGCCTGTGACAATGGGTTACTTTTAAATCCAAGTAAATCACAGTGCATCGTTATTTACAAGAAGACTTTCAAACTTGAGGGCTACAGTGAAGTGAAATTGAACAACTCTGTTATAAAATTTGTTGACACTGCAAGAAACCTAGGGATAATTTTCAATAGAACCCTATCGTGGAATACCCACATTTATAGTGCAATAGGCAAGGTTTATGGCATGCTCCGTTCATTATGGACTATTCAGCACTTTACCCCAGAGAAAATTCGACTGCTTTTAGCTAAAACATTTCTGTTACCAACCTTATTGTATGGATGTGAACTGTATGCCAATTGTGATAGTCTGTGTCGTGGCAAACTTAATATCCTCTACAACAACATCGCCAGATACGTGTATTGTGTAAAACGTCGTGATCACATATCTGTTTTTGCCTTAAAAATATTTTCTATAAAGTTCGACGATTTATTAAAAGTAAAATGCCTAATGCTGCTTCACAAGGTAATTAACTCTCATGAGCCCAAATACCTTGTTGAACGAATTCAATTCACGAGATCGGCCCGATCACTTAACCTGCTTAGTATGACATACAGTTGCCTTGTATCTGAACGTCAGTTCTTTGTTTTTGCTGTTCGTCTTTGGAACGCTCTGCCATATAAGATCAAAACTATCCGAAGTACATCGCACTTTAAAAATGAGCTCTTACATAATTTTTGCCCTCTAAATTGCTAAGATGCACGTACACATATATTTTTCTTTTTTCTAATACTTCTTTGTTCTTCTTCTCCTCCTTACACATTTTTACAACCTACGGTTTCCCTTAATGTTATTTTTAAGCTTTTATAATTAAATTAAGTTCAAACACTGTAAAATAACTCATGGTTGTGTGTTTGATTATAATAAAATGAAATGAAATGAGGAAACGCCGGAAAACAATGTATGGGCAATGACATTTAGGGCCGGTTACTCAATGTCTGGTTAACACTAATCTGCGGTTAAACATCGTTATCGACGTTAAAGATTCCCTGTTATATGCATGGAGTCGAAGAGGTCGGTAACGATGTTTAACCGCAGATTAATGTTAACCAGACATTGAGTAACCGGCCCTAAATGTATAAAAATTTAGATGTCAACAGAATAATACCTACAGTAAAAAAGCATCACTGAAGTGTGAGAAGGCTTTAAATGCCGTTTTAAAAAGGTCAATACATTTCTTATAAAATATTTTGATTTTTGCTGGGTGTAACCCAGTCAAAGGGCTATTAAAGAAAATAAAATTCTGAAAAGTAATAAACAGGAAAAGAGTGCACACAAAGTAATATTTTACCCAAATTCATAAAAGATTAAGAAATCGAATTTTTTTATAAAAATGTCACTGTACAGAGCTATATAAATCTATTTTTTTTTTTTTTTAAATAAGGCCACTAGCATATACGGTTTTTACAAATGAATCTTGTAGCGTCACGCTATATAAATACATATGTACATATATATGTTTTGGCTGGCGAAATATGTACTTTTGTCAACTAAGTAAAAAAGCGAATGAGTAAATTTAACCACATTAAAAAGTTTTTAAATACTCAATGGCTCAACACAGCAACTCGTTTTGTTGCACGAAACCCTTGAACACGTGCCTGTCATCTATTTCGTCAGTTTCGACATTTCGCTATTTTGCATTTCTTTTATTTCGAAGTCATTCGCATTGTCAGATTTTTGAAATTCGTTTATGTTCGACATTCTGCTATTTCATAATTCTTTCATTCTCATGTCATCCATCTTCCATTCCTTACCTTCCATTGCCGTTCGCATCGTCGAACGTGCCTGTCAAACACTGCCGCCAACATGCTTTTGAGTTTGGCAGGCACGTCCGCTGTTAGAAAGAGAATAGACAAAAAGGGGCATAGGATTCCATACTTGTAGGTATATACGATGGTTACGACTTAGGGGCGGTTGTTCAATGTCTGATTAGCACAAATCGGAGGTAGAAGCTCCGGTTAAGTACAACTACTGCTTTATCGATCACATGTTACGTGCATGATGTCGAAATCGTCGATAGTGTAATGGTAGTGATAACCAGACATTGAACAACCGGCCCTTAGTTGCAGCTGCAGCCGAAACTAAATTTTAAGTTGGTACTTAGCCAGAAAAGTCGAAACTAAAAGTGTGTTTGCATTGTTCAACTTTGCGTTCAACATTTGCGTTCAACTCAGCGCAGGGTTGCACGAAAAAAAAATTGAATGACTAAAAATATCAAAATATGAAAAAATATCAAAATATTCGCCATAAAAAGGTGTTTGCATTGTTCAACTTTGCATTCAACTTTTGGTTGAATGGCCTTTCAACTAATCGCTTTCAACAAAGTTGGTCGCCAGCCAACACTGCAACACTGCGTTGAGTTGAACGCAATTGTTGAACGCAAAGTTGAATAATGCAAACACTGCTTAAGGCGACTATGAATAGCGTTAGGGGTTACCTATAATATGAATAGGCTGCCGTAACTGACTGTCAGAAAATGAACGAAAAGTCTGTCAAATGCATAAGCAACGTAGTGTAGACTTTTAGGGCCGGTTTTTCAATGTCTGGTTATCACTACCACTACACTATCGACGATTTCGACATCATGCATGTAACATGTGATCGATAAAGCAGGAGTTGTGCTTAACCGGAGCTTCTACCTCCGATTTGTGCTAATCAGACATTGAACAACCGGCCCTTAGGTGGCTCTATTTTACTTACATGAGGTCAGTGTTGCCACATTTAATTAGATATAACAATAGCCACTATCAAGCAGTTTGTTGTAGATCACACAATTATAGTAACCTAGAAACGCCGAAGAACTGTTCGCCTTGCGAAACTTTGAGGATAACCTGGTGTTTCTGTAAAAGGAAACGCTTACGGCCCACTTCCTAATGTGGAACCAGAACTTCTTTTCACCCGTGTTACATGTAGGACTGAATCGAAAAAGTTACCAAGTGGAAAAAAAAGTTACCAAATTACCAAATATGATACAAATATGATAAATAAAGGAAAAAAATTACCAGTTTCGGTACCAAAAAATTCAATGCGGCAACACTGCATGTGTTACATATGTACATAGATACGTACGAGGACAAACAGCTGATTCCGTACGGAAGGTGCGATCAGTATCGCTCTTTCGGGTTGGCTTTCCTTTATGGCCGTTCGTTAAAGGGGCGGTGGGCGCAAGGTAAGTGGGCGTGGCACCTCTAACCCATCTTTTTGTAGAGGGAATGAACCGCCATTGACAAAAATGCAACCCCCGACCACCTAGGTCCCCTATGGTTCTCTAGGGACCCCTTAGAAAAATTGCCAAAAATCACAATTTTCATTTGCGTTTATTCGCTTGAAAAATGTTAAATATTCATTTGCACAATACATTTTTATATACAAGACACCCGGTAACCAAAATAGACATCACTGGGGCGGCAGCCTCAGGTTTACCACAAAGAAAGGGAATTGTAGTTACCTCATCCTTTCCCAAGGTTACATCACTGGGGCGGTAGCCCAAGTTAAGTCACACAGAAAAGAGAATTCTACGTAGTAAGGGTTATAATCCCTAAGCGCGGCCGAAGGCCGCCTACGCAGAAAGGAATTCTACGCAAAAATACTGTGCACGCAAGTAAAAATTGCGATTTTTGGCCATTTTTCTAAGGGGTCCGTAAGGAACGATAGGGGGCCTAGGTGGTCGAGGGTTGCATTTTTGTCAATGGCGGTTCATACCCTCTCCAAAAAGGTCGGTTGGAGGTGCCACGCCCACTCCCCCTTCGCCCACCGCACCTTTAACGAGCGGCCAATGGAAAGTTTCCCCGCTCTTTCCTTAAGCAAATGACGTTTGGCGAAACTTGACGAAACTTGATGTTAAGCACATTATAGTTTCAGAATAGGATTTATGGGTTTGCATACGCTTGCTTATTCATATTATAGTTAGCCCTTTAGTGTGACTTAGAATAGTTTCGACTAATGGGCTGTTTTTGCTTACGCGTTAATGCACATTTAGCGCATTTAATTGTAAATGCTACCCTAATGGGCTGTTTTTGCTTACACGTAAAAGCACATTTAGCGCATTTAGCTCTAAATGCTTCTCTAAATGTACATTTATCCATACAAAATTCGTCACCTAAATGCAATTAAATGCAATTCCATTTTTGCATTAGGAATCTAAATGCTAAAAGCAACCCTGTGATCTTCCAAAATTTCCACGATTCGAACATGGTTTAAGAGAAAAAGCGGCAACATTGCTTTTTCGAGTATACAGTGGCTAGCTGCGTTTCAGTGATCGCCGATCGAGATTTCATTTATTGTTTTACATTATTTGGATAAAGAAAAGTTAAGCAAATTCAACATCGATGTGATGCTGATAGAAATCTGGATCAATTTGTGATCAACTCTCTTTGTTTCGTTTCCTAATTAAGTGAGGAAATTTTAATTCACAGCACTGACAAATGAATATATACACAAACAAATGCTCAGTTATGGTTAAAACAATTCAAATTTTTGTATTGAATTTTTGGTTTAAAATTTATTTTTTCCTTTTCAGTAGGGTTTTTGTACATTATCTTCTGCGTGAGAGTTGATCGTAATAGATACGGATCTGAATAACGACTGGAACACGGCTGTTTGTCAAAAGCATACGATTTCGAACTCGCATAAATGTACATTTGCTAAATGCTATAGCATGAACGCTCTTCGAAAACATATGTTCGAAAGTGCTAAATGTTGCATTTTAAATGCAGCAAAAACGCTGCATAAATGTACATTTCTAAATGCGATAGCATGAACGCTCTTCGAAAACATATCTTCGAAAGTGCTAAATGTTGCATTTTAAATGCAGCAAAAACGCTGCATAAGTTGAGTACAAAATATGAGTATGAATATGCGCCATAGGTTTAATCCAGAAAATTTGTGGAACAAACTATTATGAGAGTAACGATTCGGTACTTCGATTCACGGGTTGTATTCGTTACTCAGTAACGAACACATACGGTTTGGTACAGCTCTAATAATGAGCTCGAATTATAAACTTCGTAAAGTAATTGATTGCAACCAGGGTGCCGTTCGGGCAATACGTTACAATGGTAGGTTGTATAGGTAAAATATGTAAGTGAATTCATGTCTTATGCAATATATTTCAGTTGACGGTTCATATTGTTTGAGTTGTGGATCTGATAAGAAAATTAAACTATGGAATCCAAAGACAGCATTATGTCTCAAAACATACGGTGGTCACGCTGATGAGGTTACAGATGCGGCAGGAAGTTGTGATAGCTGTCATATTGTTTCCTCTAGTCTTGATAAAAGCATAATCTATTGGGATGTTTCCACAGGCGTACCTGTACGTCGACTCCGGGGTCATGCTGGAGGTGTTTACTGTGTTTGTTTAAACGAAGACTCGTCAATTGCAATATCTGGTGGACGCGATAATGCAGTTGTATGTTGGGACATACGGACTCATCGCTTAGAACCTGCGCAAATAATGAAAGATGCAAGCGACAGTATCACCTCGATTCAAACTAATGAGCACAAAATAATTACTTCCTCTCTAGACTGTTGCATTCGTCAATATGACATACGTGTTGGAGAGTTAGTATGTGATAACCTTTGTGAACCCGTAACATTTTTGAAATTAACTCGAGATGAGCAATGCCTTTTAGCAGCATGCCAAGATAGCGCAGTTCGTCTCATAGACTGTGAGACAGGGAGTTTATTAGCAGAGTATAAAGGACACAAAGCTGAGGATTTCCAGATTGAATGTGGCATAATTACGAAAGATGCACATATAGTTTCAGGCAGTAGTGAAGGCTGCGCTTTATTTTGGGATCTACTTGAAGGAAAAATTTTACAACAAATTAAATTAGGTTTGTGACCTTAAATTAAGTTAAACTTCCTGATGATGCCTAATAATTTTCTCTTTAGGTAGCAATAGAGGAGTTGTTAACTCAGTAGATACTCATCCTAAAGACAGCGATTTTGTATTAACTTGTCGAAGAGAAATATATTTGTATCGCACAGATGTAAATGAAGATTTAATCCTGAATGAAAACTAGTTTAATATGTATATATCAGAGAAAAGCAAGGACCTACTTGAATTTGGAGTTCCTTTATACCATTGTGCATACATACAAGTGACAAATGTTATTCACGTCTATTCTGCATTTCGACTCGAATCGAAATTTTCTCCGTTTGGCAATTTTGGTGTTCTGCGTTCCGTTTCCTTTCGATCAATCTTCGAAATTTACGATTATACCTATTCTACATTTCGATCGTAGTTCCGTTTTTCTAAGTTGCAAATTTGTTGATGGAGAACGTTTCAATTGTTATTTTCGTGGGTTTAAATAATAAAATTTTATAAAAAATTTAAGTAAAATATACTGTGCATGATTTTAAAAGTCATCATAAATGAATTTTCACGATTTCTGTGTTTTCGCAATACGAAAAATCGGCTCAAATAATGGCAACGAAAAGGGATGTTGCGCGACGTTTTCAAAGTGGAAGTCCAGGCGTTTTTGTTTACATTATCTATTATTAAGACTGAAATGCACTGAATGCAATTTATTCTTTTTATATAAAATTAATAGATGTATGCACATAGATACATACATACATAAAATGTGAAGTTACATAAAAAAGATGCTTTTATTATTGCACTCGTTTTTACTAACTTTTTAAAAAGAGATGTGTATGTCTCGAATTCGATTTGCTATGGAAAGATAAGCTTTGTTTTTCCCCTCCTCCTGACGGCTTTCAAAATGGGACTCATTTGCGTTCAAATCTTCTACCCTGTAGTAAATGCAAATTTTGTGTAGTGCTCAAACAACGTTTATAATTTCACTGACTAACTGAAGCGATGAGTAATACAGTTCAAGATGAATTCCTTATGACTCTTCACTCATCTGAAAAAGATCAAACATGTGCCTAAATCTCCGCCTTTCAACTTCCGCATCAGCAATCTGGGAATCTTTCTTCTCTTCAAGCAATAACGCCGCGGCTATGGATTTCATTCTTACAATTATGTATCCACTTAAATTTTATTTTTAAATTATAGTGATGCTAGGTATATTTAGTTATTTTAAAATATTTACAAACTTTAACTTCATATGCTGCTATAGTTTGGTGGCAAATATTCCTTTGTTTTGTTTCGATTTCACACATTCCTAGGCCAACATCTGATTTCGAAAGATGTTTTCTCTCTTCCTCTTCTTTCGTTTCGATCGTACCGCAGACATGAACGAAAGACACAAGAGCACGTGAGAACAAGAGAGTGAAAAAGTCAATTTTTTTAGCGGGTTCTACGCCATCTTGTTTCACTGGAAAACGAGCGAAAAGTAAACAAAGCAAAGAAAGCAACGAAAACCAAAATTAGCCAACATTATTGTCAGCCACTTTAAACGCACAATTTAGGTAAAATGATGCAACAAAATGCTTTAAAATGTGTTGTCATGTTGAATTAACTCTTCTTTACTTGAATAAAAGTGTAAAATAGTGGTGCTTGTGATGTAAACAAACGCTCAGATGACGAACCCGCTTTCGCAAACTTTTTTCTCAAAACCAGTTACAAATACAACGTCGCGTTCTTACGTGATCTTGTATTTTTGGTTCATGGTACCGCAGAATACCTAAGTTCGATTCCAGCGGAGCGGAATGCGGGAACGTAATCGAAATGCAGAATAGGGCTGATTAACTTGTCGTAGAGAAATATATTTGGTAATTCTCTAGGGTGGGGTAACAACTCCTAAAAAAGGTCCGGAAAAGTCGGGAGGGGTACCAAACGACGCGTTTCGGCCCACCTAATAACAATCCGGAGGGGGGAGATAATATTATTAACCATTTGAAAGTTATGAATAAAAAACTTTTGTTAAATTTCGTTGTTTTCTATGGGCAATTACACCGACAAAGATTCACTAAATCACCTATTCTCACTTTTTAAACACTATTAAAATATATAACTTAACTTATTTATTAAAGAAACACATAGTTTTATCAACCTAAGATAGATTATTTGGGGTAATTCTCTAGGGTGGGGTAACAACCCCTAAAAAAGGTGCGGAAAAGTCGGGAGGGGTACCAAATGACGCGTTTCGGCCACCCTAATAACAATCCGGAGGGGGGCTAATATTATTAACAATTTAAAAGTTATGAACAAACAACTTTTGTTAAATTTCGTTGTTTTCTATGGGCAATGACACCGACAAAGATTCACTAAATCACCTGTTCTCACTTTTTAAACAATATTAAAATATATAATTTAACTTATTTATTAAAGAAACACATAGTTT